CTTTTTTTTCTTTTTTTTTAACTTTATCTTTAAATATCTCTAATTTAACAAAACAGAGAAAATCAGTTAAACAACAGTGGATTGTTAAAAAAAAAAAAATCTGTAAAAAAAAATGTTCTATATTTTACAGTGCATGGCCTGGCCTTCGATCTCCACATGTATCTATTTGTCTTGAGGCCTCCATGACTCTGTTGCTGGGTCAGCGTTTCTTCTTACTTGAACCACTGCTGGTAACCGCTGCATACCAGGAACACCCAACAAAGCCGGCCGCCAACTCTGAGCCTGGTTCATCTTGAGGTTTCTTATTGTTAAAGAGGAATTTTTCATCATCAAGTGCTTGTTTAATTGGAAAATGTTCAGGTTTCTCTCTTGTGATTTGGCACGATATGAATGAAACTGAAGTGGAAAATTAAACTGACTGTTCACTTGCTGCCTAATACATCCCCCGCACTGACATCCACGACTGTAACGAAATAATCAAAGTTATTCACTTCACCTGTCAGTAGTTTTAATCTTCTGTGCATATTGTGAATGAATAGAAATGTATCCGTCTCTCTCTGCACACATCTTCTCCAGAGCTGAACGAATCTCTGTCTGGAAACAAAAGACAAGTCACTCTTCTTCGCTGAACCACCCGTCCTGGCTACATCCTGATCTGAGGAGAGATAACAAACTCCCCCCTGGGAGCCAGGCCTCGAGCTCAAAACACACATACGAATAACCTTTCATGCATCATGAGACACTGGCAGGAATGTGGAAAGAAATGTAGGAAAGCTGCTTTTCTCCAGCGTGGAAGCTCCACCGGAATAATTATCACAGAAGAGCAGCAAACACCTTGCTTCTCTCAGATATCCAGACCAAGCATCTGGTTTCCTTTCATTACAGGCTGCCCAGCTGCCTCCCACACACGTCGGTCATTAGCTCATTACAGACAAAACCATTCCTATCCAAGGACCCCATTAGCTATTTAACCGCATTAAAGCCAAAGAAGTAATTTTTCAAGATGACATTCATAATCTTGTAACAGATAGATTTCTCAGCATCGTGCAGCTCTTGTGTCTGCAGGAAGCCCTCGGTCTGTGCAAAGAGTTTTCACAAATGATGGATGATGAACTTCTTGTGATTAATCTGCCACCAAGGGGGGGATTCTGAGCAGGTTTCTGCAGGGTATTCGAACGTCTGCACTGGCCTACGTGCACTAAAGGTTGTCTGAGGGGTTCTGTATGTTGCTCAGTGAGTGTTGACCACAGCTGCACTTGACAGGAAGCCTGAAAGCTTCAGGGTGGTAGACAATGACGGAGGAGGGGGGGGGCTGAGAGTAGAAGTACTTCCTCCACAAAGTCATGGCATGTGACATCAGCACAAGACAGACAGAAAGACAAAGGTCTTATTATCAGCCAACTTCGGCCCCTTGTTTGTACATGTTACTGTAAAGATGCAACAGTGGACAGTTTTTACAATATCTGATGCATTAACACAGGCTGCTGTACAAACTAAGGTTCCACATATCAATAATCTGTTACAGTCGACCTCCATCCACCACCGAAAACACCTACAATGGGTTGAAGAGCTTCACAACTGGAGCACGAGACAATAAAACAAGACATTTTTATGATATTATATTTACAATCTCTATATCTGTGCAATATCAATATTTTTCCTCCTTTGGACAAATCTGTGCAACGCTACTGATATGTGCAATATTCTGATCCAGAGAAATTTGGACAATCCCAACTCGTAATCATGTATATTTTTTGTTTACTCTAATTTCTTAAATGCTTGCTGCTGTTAAAATGCTCATTTCCCCACTGTGGGAATGACGAAATAAAAGAATAATCAGTAGAGTGCTTTTGCTTATTTGAACTTATCTTAAGTTAGCTTAGCTTAGCTTAGCTTAGCCCTCAATCCAATTGGTCAAGGCAGATAACAGCCCTCCCTGATCCTGGCTCTGCCAAAGGTTTCTTCCTGTCAATTTTTTTTTTCCGTCCTACTGCTTGCTCTAAGGGAGCTGTTGGATTTATATCTGCGATATCAGATTGTCAAATCCTTGCCTGAGTATGTGAGGGGCCTCAAGAAGACTGACGTTGTGCAGTGGCACTGGATAAATAAAAATGAGCAAACAGCCACCTAAACATTCCTGCAGAGCACGTATACCTTTTCTTTGCCGCAGTATTCCCAGATGAGAAATGCTTGCTAGCACACTGCAAACATTGTTCAGAAACAGCTTGAGGAACACAACAAAGAGCTCCCCAGAACGAACATGTGTCGGATGTAGTGGGAAAACAGCTCTGATCCATGAAGGTCCCACCTTGTAGTTTACAAGGCTTAACGGATCTGCTGCTGCAGGATTCCTTAGCCAGTCCAGGTCACGACAGGTCAGCACTGTTTTTGTGGCACAAGGGGTCCTTTTTTTTTTTTTTAACATCGTGGCTGATTTGTATTTAGCCCTGATGTTGTAAACGGTACATTTAGTTTAGCATACAAGTCTGGAGTCTCCAGAGTCACCAGATGTGCTCATCATTGCAGGAACCGTTGCATTAATGTGGTTTTTGAGGTAAGAAGAAGGTTAAGTGTAGCTTTTACTTTCCTTAGCAGCTTTATTTGCTACAATTAGCCTGATTATATTATCCGCACGACCCTCTTCACTGATCACTCCCCATTCTTCTGTCCGGTCACGGCAAAGCAACCTCAAACAACCCTGCGAACGCTGACGCCTGCCAAAAAAAGAAAACTTTGTAAGCACTCTTTTGTTTTGGATTTTCTCTGCATGGAGTTGCGAGGTTGCTGCTGCACAGCTCAGCTTACAGCGTGCTGTTAGCAGGCTTTATTGCACAGCGTGGCGTTTTTTCCACTGAGAACAGGAATCAGGAGGGATAAATACAGGAGAGCCGGGTGTGGCCATCCACTTGTGGGTGTTTATTGTGAAATGCATCCCATATGCTCGACAAATTTCCCATAGTCCTCCTTTCAGCTTCACCTCTAAGACTTTTTTCAGCTGAAAAAAAAAAAAACGAGAGCGAGTGTGAGCTTCCTGCCACTCTTTTTTCTGCCAGCTGTAGAAGAAAGCAGCAGCCCTGTTCATCCAGTTTTTCCCCACTTTGTTGGAGGATACAGCTGGCAAAGTTTGACGCTGGAATAAAAGAAGCTTGTGTGTGCATGTAGGTGAGAATCTGGGTTGTTATTAGGAGTCGCTCGGATTGGACGAGGAAACCTCAGCCCCCCTCGTGAACGTGTTTTCTGACACACACAAGTCAAGAGAGGCTAATTCAGTACCAGGCACTCATATTACTGCCTCGTTTCTGTGCAACAGGGGGAGAGAGAGGGGCTTTAGTGGGGGTGGTGGGCAGAGGACGGCTGCCGGGGGGAGGGAGGGGAAAGCAGAGAGGGGGAAGGCTGGGGCTCTGGGATGGGGGCGGAGAACAGAAAGAGCTCCGGCCGTGGGACTACCGCCGTAAAGTAGGACTGAGAGAAAGGAGATGGGTGAGACCTGAGAGACATGGCGAGGATTAAAGTGGGATGTGGAGCAACCGAATATCAGCACAGCTGACCTGAGCACAACGAGAGCGAGGAAGGGAAGGCGCGCAGAGGGGGTGAGGACTTGCCTGAACAAGAGGCAGAAAACAGAAGAATGACTGAGGAGACTTGAGAGATACTGAGCCAGAGCAGTCAGACAGGAAGAGGGAGAGACAGAGGAGGAGGAGGAGGAGGAGGAGGAGGAGGAAAGGGGGGGAGAAGCGAGGTTAAAGAAAACTGAAGAAAGAAAGACGAGAGGCAAAAGATTAACACCGTGTCTGAGTAGGAAAGGGGGAGGAAGTCTGAGAAGGCAGGGCAGGGTGACAGCGGGGTGAGTGTTAAAGGGAGAGCAGGACAGAGGCCGGGAGAGACTGAAGGTGAAGGAGGCTCACGGGTGAGGTTCGCAGGAGGGGTGAGGTATGAGGGGACAGCTCCTGAAGTCACTCTTCTCTCTGATGGTCACCCTCTTCTGCCTGGGGAGTCTGCTCACCTCGCTCGTCTGGTTCATGTTCGACAACACGTAAGTGTTACACCTACAGAGCACACAGGAATCCCAAAAGGTTCTTCTGAATGCTCTCTGGTTCTTTACCAGTTCTTCACAAAAGTTCTTTACGTACTTTTTGTGGCGCTTAAAGAGTTAGTTCGGTGGCAGGTAAAAGCATATAATCGGAGCTGCAACTAGTTTCTGAATCAGTCATTTAGTTTATAACGTCAAGCTGGCATCCTGTAACATGCTGTTCTGTCTGACCAACACTAAAGAACCCAAACTGTTCAATGTTCTGTTGACTCAGAAATGCTTTGAAATTACTGAAACAATAATGAAGTCCTGTATGGAGCCATGCTGGTCCGCATAATCTCTACAAGTTGTAGCAGCAACATTTGTGGTATCTAAAGTAACTGTTTTGTGGTGGTTAAAGTTGAGGTTCTAGTCTCTGGTTATGTCCTTCATTTGTCTGAATGCCATACGTTGTTCCGTCTGACCAACAGTCCAGAAAGCAAAATCTGATATTTGCTTAAAAATTGCTTAAAAAGTAAGAAGTACAGTATGTCACAAAAGTGAGTACACCCCCAAGTGAAAATGTCCAAATTGGGCCCAAAAACGTCATTTGGTGCGGCTCCCATTATTTCCCAGCACTGCCCTGAACCCTCTGGTTCATGGAGTCCACTGGAATCCTCTTCCACTCCTCTGTGACAACATCACGGAGCTGGTGGATGTTAGAGACCTGGAACTCCTCCACCTTTTGTCTGAGGATGCCTCAAAGTGGAGGCCACACAAAATGTTGACACCTTTTGCTGCCAGCGGTTTCGGCATTAATGACTGTGTATTAATTCATTTTGAGGGGACAGTAAATTACAGGGGTTTTTTTGTTTGTTTTTCTTTACAAACTACAATGACAAACTGTTGTACAAGCTGTGCACTGACTATTTTACATGGTAGCAAAGTGTCATTTCTTCAGTGTTGTCCCATGAAAAGATATAATAAAATACTTGCAGAAAGGTGAGGAGTGCTGTCACTTTTGTGACACTCTGTATCTTGAATGGTTCCCTAAAGAACCGTATCTTTTGAGTGCAGCTTTCTGTGGTATTACTGCAGTTGTAGTATTAATTTAACTCTTTTATTTGTATGTAATATGTTGTTTTGATGGTTCTTGGAGGCACATTTAGGGCTTCTAGAAGAAGGACCTCTGCCTAATAGGTTGTTTTCAGAAGCAAAACACAGCTGAATTAAGTTTAGGTTAAGAAGTTGTGTTTATGCCACTGGTTTAAGTTAGATCTACTTAAATCATTTAATTCTTCTCAAATTAACAATTTGCATTGCTGCAACTTGAGTTGAAAGGAAATCAACTTGAAGTTCCCACTTTATCCAAAAGAAATGGTTGTTATGACGTTAGATGCAGAATGTCTGTCACTACATGTCTGTATATAGCGGGAACCTGCTAAAGCAGAAGCTCATCAAATGTCACTGAAACTGAAACAGGAGAAGCTTCTCAACCACACCAACAGCCATTTCAAATAAATGATATATGCACGAGCTGGAAATACTTTTGGGTTTGTTTTTCCACAACAAGATCACATCAAAAGAAGATAAGTGATCAAGCAGGTTTGTACATGACAATGTTGGATCAGAATTTTTCAGTCCGGTCTGGAAACTTAAAAACAGGAAGCGGAAGATAACCACTGCATTAGAAACTCACACCGCAGGCACATCAAGAGACGCCTGCTGCTCAAATACAGCTCAGTAGCAAAGGTCTCTGCACATGAGTTTGCACACTGGTTGTTCATTTATGGTGCATGAAGCTGCAGTCTGTCAGTAGAACATCAATGAAAACAGAAGTTTGCACAAACTTTTCGTCAGTCGTTGTTACAGTTCATTCATGCAAACCTTCACACTGAACCACACAGCTGTGGTTGGCATGTGAACATTTACTGCTCAGATTCACTTTATAGAAATATACGCTGTTAAAAAATAAATAAATATAACAATAGTAATATTTTGGCAGCTAGGGAACCAAAAACCTATAAAAATGTTTTTTTAAAAAAAACCATTTAAAAAAAAAACAAAAATTGGCAAAAAAAAAAAAAAATTTCCCCTTTAAGGGAAAACCCCGGGAATTTTTAATGAACAATATTTACAAGTAAAAAAAAATGTAATATATAATGGCAATATAGAATTTAGCATACAATGATATATATATTAAAAAATAGTTTCAAAGGTGATTATTTTTTACAGAAATTATACACTGATGAAAACATATTCATTAAATATTTTTATTTCAAAAACTTCTGTTATATTATAGATATTTAACATTTAACAAACAAAACTTGAATTTAATAGTTTCATATCTTTAATTTTTTTTTGAATATATTAGAATATTACAATTAGAATAAATGTACACATTTACTTTAAGTCTTTTCATTGCAAAATAAAATCTTTTTAAAAATTACATTTTATGGTTATTCACAGTTACACATTTACATCAATATTACTAGACATAAAAAAATCTACAGTATTTTGTTATGGAAGATTTTCTTATACAGCATAGAAGCTGCTGACCAAATAATAAATTAAGCTCCTTATTATGATGTCAACAACAGAACAACAGCAATCAAGCAAAGACAAATGAAGGCTAGAAGCTCAGACGTTGTCTAGTTTATTTGCATTTCACTAGTGTGTCCTGTTTTTGTCTCAGTAATGTGGATCCTCAACGACCGCCTCCTCAGAAGAAAAATGCCCCTCAGCCCCCTGATCTTTGCAAAGGCTGCAGGTGAGCAAACGCTGTCACAGTTTCTAGTTATACAACTTGTCTGTTTATGCTATCATCACATCAAATCATGTCAGAACTACTGGGATTACTCACCTGACCGGTTTGTGTGTGACAGAGAGGTCATCGACAAAGTAATGGTGCGTCACTCTCAAGCCTGGAAGAGGCAGGAGGACAATTACCAAAAATTCAGGTAAAGACATCCCCTCAAAGCCTTATTTTTGACAGTTTTATCCTGAGTTTTTCGGGAACAAAAAAAAAATAGAAAGTACAACCAAAAAAACATAAACAGATTGCCAGTACAGCAAACAACTGCATGCATGCACAGATGTTCTGCATCCTCTATATTTATATCTATACAAAAGACCCTTTTCAGTTAATCCCATGAAAACACAGATGCCAGATGTGCAAATAGATACATACTGCAGCAGGTAAAAGCACAGTCAGAAACTCTAATGCAACCTTACACATAAACTGTGCACAGAAGTCCTAAAAAGCTCTAAAGACTCAGAGCGAGGTTGTAAAAATGCATGTAGTATGGAATGTGCAAATATTTACAGTATAGAAAATATACAGTTTGCAAAAATGTTTTTTAAAAAAAATCTCTGAAGTACAAAGTCCACAGTGACCTGCATACCAAAAAATATCAATATTTATGTAACAGCAATGAACATTTGTACCCATGACAATGTTATTTCCCAAAACCTCACTTGGATTTGTTCAAAATAGCAGAAACTGATGCATGAAAATGAACTTAAACAGTTTCAAAAGTAAAAAAAAAAAAACACTAAATGTGTTTCCTTTTACGTAGAAACTGGGAAGAACAGTGCAGACATGGACGGAGAAGTAGAAATAGAAACTCAGATTAAGGCAGAGGAACTGAAAGCTCTATAAATAAGACGTCTCAGGTTCGTGTGAGTTATTGTAAAACAGAAACTCTTCTCCTGGAAGACTGTTTCCACTCACTGCAGCCGTTTTACAGAACAAAATCTTGACATAAACATGAAATCACTCCAATTTGCAACCTACAATAATATGTTAACCTGCACACAAAAAAATATATAAAAAAAAAATCCAGATAAAAAAATAGAATTTAGCAGCAAAGGGGCCAGAAAAAAAAGTAAAATACAGAACCATTCAAAAAGTGTAAAAACTGCTGGAAATAATGAGGGATGGAAGACTGTAGCGTTTCAAAACTGTGAAAACAAAACCCTGCAAAATAACAGCAAGTACCTGTGAAACAATTCTATATTTTTAGCAGAGTTAAATATAGTAAGAAACAGGGCCTAAAGGTTGAGACAATTTAAAAAATGTTTACTATATTTTAATCTTTAGTATGCATTTTTTTTTCAAGTAATAACATTGTTTTAAAAAAAAGAAAAAAAAAAGAAATTACTTATGAAAATAAAATGACAGTTTAACATTTTTCAATCTTAAATCAAAAATATTATTCTTTACAGTAATTGCAAATACATGTTAAATATATATATATATGATTTAAAGTCAAGCACTGTAAAAGCACAAATTTCTGTTTGGAAATACAAATTTTTAGACGTTATTTACAGTTTTATCCTGCTTTTTAATAATTGACAGCTAAATTATTACTCTGATTATTTTTTTATTATTTCTTATCGTAATTGAACAAAGCAGTGAAAATGTATAGAATAATGGTAAAATACTTCTTTTGTTTCTTTTTTTACAGTGTTCATGTTTTACATTTTGCAAATAGCCAGTCATTGTGCTCGACATCTAATCTTGCTGCTCAGTCAGTGTCAACAAAGTCCTTGTGGTTCAACAGATCTCAGCTGAGCAATAAGTGCAATGGATTCAACAAGGCCATAATTACCCAGACCAACACTCCAGTGGGATCCAAGCTTGTTTACGACGGGGAGAAGAAGAGAACTCTGCAGGTGACTCCAGAGATCTTCAGCACCTTTATCAAGGTATGTTATTTGTCATTCATGAACACAGGATCTGCTGCTTGTTTGACGTCTTGAATGTTCCTGACATGTGATTATTTCACAGCTTTGCTCGTGCGTGTTCTGGCATGAGTCATGTGTTTAGTCACATGCCAGCTCTTTGATAAAAACACGACGCTGCAGCGTGGTTTATTTTTGGTAAACTGGCATCACACTGCACTGCTGAACTGTATACACTAAAGCTAAAATGTGAGTACGTCATTTGAACTGGGGACCTCTTGATCTGCAAATGCTCTTCCACTGAGCTGCACCCCCTCTGACTGAATGCTTTGTTTCATATAATGTATGTTTGCCATGATAAACCTTTGAGGGCATAATTTTTACTGCTGTAAGAGCAGAAATGTAATGTTTGTTTCAACCACTAATAAGAGCTTGTTGCATTGCACATCAGGATAATTGCAGCCATTTGAATATTCAACATGAATAAATGCAGGGAACCTCATCATAAAGACAACTGTGAATATGAGCCAACAGTGACTTCACTGGAAAGAGTTCAAGGAAATGGTTTCTATCTTGTTTGTAGCCAACAATAACATAACTAAACCCAACAACAGTGGCTTCACTGTTGTTGGGTTTTCCTCATATATAAATTCATTCCAGGAAATGGTTTCTATTTTGTTTTCAGCCAAATATTTACATAATTCAACCCATCTGGACACTGAGAAGCGACATTGTACCAACTACTGAAAAAGTAATATTGCAAATTAATTGATATTATGGTTTGGCTTTAAGTTCCCTGTAGTCAGGAGAACTCACAGAACACAGAACAGGTGGACACAGTTGCACAGCACAATCAGATTAAGGCAGAAAAGTAGGTGTATTATCAGGCAGGATTCAGTACACAGGTGATGCGTCAGTAAGGCAGAGGTATCCAAAGACGAGAGGCAACAAGGCAAGGTCGAAGGCAGAAAACGAGGTCGTACACAAAACGGACTTGACTATGAAGCGCTGGGACGAGGACAGTGAAGTACAAAGAACTGGCAACGGTGCGACACACAGGGTAAAGTACAAGAGGTAGTGAGGGAAGATAGGAAACAGGTGAGGAGAGCTTAGGTGGTAGAGCGGGTTGTCCTCCAACTGCAAGGTTGGCGGTTGACCGAAATAAGGTCAAAATATTAAAAAAAAAAAAAAAAAGGGGGACAACAACATGTAAAGTCAATGTCTTAAATAAATATAGACAGAAAGAACTAAACTATTAGGACTATGAAGAGCAGCCAAATGCCACTGAAAGCAAGTGTGTCGTGAGATTCGATTGAAAGAGGACAGAGAAAGAGAAAGCTTTGGAGCTGCCACTGCAAAGACATGGTGTCTTTTACCACCAACCTCAATCACGTATCAGCTAAGATCCCACAGAGGTTTGAAGAGGCTGAGAGGTAGAAAACTGCAAGAGAAGTTCTGAAATGCACACAGTTACCAACTGATGCAACGCTTTATGAACAAATAAAAGAGCCGGAAAATCCAAAACAGATGCAAAATAACATGCTGTACGGCCTGCAGTTTATGTTGAAGTGCATTTTCTCACCAGGAATAGATAAAAGGTTGAATCAGCTGCACCATTTTTTGAAATATATGGCTGTCGAAACTGATCAGAAGTCAAGCTCCTGAAACTACAACGATGCACTAATAGATTCGTTGTGGTTGTTGCCCAGTGTTCATGAATTTAGGTCATCATATCAACAAATGCAGTCAGATTCAAGCAACAGTTTAATATGTGATACCATAGCATCCTGTCAGTGTTGAGTTTGTGTTTCCACAGGAAGTCTTTTGTCTGTTGATGAGTCGTTGATGTGTTGGCAGAAGTGTCACCGTAATGCTTTTAGGAGAGACTGTCTGAAACCGCAATGTACACCTGCACTGAGTCACATTTACTGATTCAGATTAGTTGTTCAGCTTTGTGTTGGGTCGACATCATAATTATCAACTTAAAACTGTGTCCAATTTGAATTTCCACGGAAGTTGATTTAAAGCTAAATTCAAGTTTGGACAACTTAATGAAATTAGCTTGATAACTTCATTTCTCTCAACCCTAAGTTCAGGCTTTCAAGTCACCTCCTCATCTTCCGTTAAAAACAGATTTTCCATGAATTGATTCAATTGAATCACAGTTATCCAAATAATATAAATGCTACTGGCCTAAGCTAGATGTACTTAAATCATTTGACTCCTCTAAAATGAGCATTACTGCAATTTATATTGAAGAAAAGTCAATTTGAAGTTTTCAAATTTAACTTAAATCCAAATGTCAACATGATTTTTTCATTGGACCTTTTGTACCGAACGCTCAATGCTAAAGGAACTGAACTTGGAAGAGCAGTTTAAAAGGGACAAAATGTCATTTTAAGCTGAAAGAATCCACAACATGCCTGGACGATTTAAGACAGGTTGAAAATAGCTTTTCTAATTCCTCAAACTCATTACAGCTTGTTGAACATATCATTACAGGTTGTTATTACTGAAAAAAGAGATTTCTGTTTAGCCCAACGGTTATTTTTTAGTCTTAAAGTTGGTCTGATTGTTGGATTGTCAGTTTTGGAAAAAGGCCAGAGGGTCGAAGTATTTAAAGAAATATTCAACTGTTTTAATGTCGCTTCAAAGATTAATCCAATTTATCATTATGATGTGTTCACTTTTCGGTTATATGCATCATAATCACAAAAATCACACCATCTTTTCCTTTTCTGTTACCAGGGGGCACCCAGATTTGAACTGTGGATTCTTGATCTGCAGTTAAACCACTGAGTTATACCCCCTTCCTCTATGGCTCTTTTATATTCCTCTAACAGTCTGCCACTGAGTATAAGAGCTTTTTGAGCCATTTTGTCTGCCCTATTCTGTCCGGAAAGACCTGCACTGAGTCTGATCGAATCAAATGTTTTGGATGAATGAGGCAAAGAGGTTAAATCTCATTTTAGGAATCTCATTTCACCAGTGCTTTCATTAAAGTTCAGTTCGACAGGCTCCAAAGTCTGCTTTTCTAGATTGAAACAAAACAGGCTGATCACGTCTGTTGTTTTTCAAAAGCTCTGTCAAATGTGGATAAGAGATGCAACCTTGTTATTTTGTCTTCTTGGGGTGCTGTTTTTTTAATAACCATAACAACAATAAATCACAACTTTTTTTTGTAATTCATTTCAAGGTCATCTTTGTTTGTAAAATAAAATACATTGATGATAATACATAGATAAGAACCACTAAAAACTGGCCTCACATATGTGAACGATGTGTCTGTACGGCACCGAGCAGTTACATACAGCGAATTAGGGAGGATCCAAAACTCTGATGCAACTCAACCAGAAACAAACCCTGATCTTTTGGCAAATGATTGGAATCCACAGATGGAGTGAAGAGCAAACACTTGCGAAAGAGACCTATCTCCCTTCTCTTTACATAAGTCTTTCACAAAAAAAACGATTTTGCTGTTTCATAATGCCTTTTGTTGTTGTCGTTGATTCCAGGAGCATCCTTTCTCAAATAAAACATGGGACACTTGTGCCGTCGTTGGAAACGGTGGGATCCTGACCAACAGCAGCTGTGGAAAAATGATCGACTCGGCTCAGTTTGTCATCAGGTGAGAGAGACGTCCAGCGCAGAGGACTGAATAATTAACATGGACAGTCCATATACCTGCCACTCTGATTTGTTAATCCAAATCACTGGTCCACTGCAGCCCCTCTTACTTGTGGTGTCTCACAAGGCTCCATCGTAGGCCCTATCTTGTTGCTGATATACATTTAAGAAACACAAAATTCTTTTTCACTGTTTTGCAGATGTTATACAAGTTTATCTATCAAAAAAAAAAACTTGCTGGACTGCTTTGAAGATGTCAAATCCTGGATGGACTTTCTTAATACAAATAAAAATAAGACAGAGATTGTTATGTTGGTCAGCTTAGTGGTCAAAAACAGCTCTTTTCAGTTACAATTTTAGGCCAAGATTAAGGCCGATCTGGCTGCTAAAGACTGAAAAAAGTATTCATGCCTTTATTACTGGATGAACGTCATTTTAAACATGTGGGTGGAGAGCAGTCGGCTCTTTGGCATGGTTCATTTGCAGCTGTTCTCCAGCTAGAATGTTCCAAAAATGTTCTGACAAAAGTTCTGCAAAGTTCTAGGAGGAGTTCAGGAGCAATTTTCTTTTAGTCCCCAAAATGTTCCTCTTAGAGGTAGGATGAAGTTCTTTAAATACACTCTGTTGCACTGAGATGTAACACTGTGTGTTCTCAACAACAACGCCTGCAAAATACCCTCATATATTGCATACATCAAATTAATAGCATCTCCAAACACCTTTTGAATGTTGCGTTGAGAACGTTCTTTTGTTATCATGGTGCATATGCATAGATATACACACACAAAATCTTTTAACCTCATATGAACATTTTTTGAAACTACGCATGTCTTTAAAACCTTCTTTGAACATTAGGGTAAAATGTTTGCTCTTAAAACATGATTAGAACATGTAGGTAATGTTGTTCAATGTTGTGGGACTATTCAGGAAAAGAAAGGGACCTCCCTCCACTGGCTTTCTGCCTATTTCAGGATTTATTTTAAGATTTCATTGTTTGTTTTTCAGGTTTTAAGTGTGTTCTCACTTCCCTATTTAGAAGAACTCTTACATCCTCATACCCCAGTTAGAGCACTGAGGAACCAGATAGTCTCAAATGTTTCAAGATGTAAACACCAATTCTTGTGCAATAGCTGCTCGTAATCGAACATTTATCTTTGAGTCAATGTGTTTATGTCGTACGAGTTGCTGTTTAGAATTCGACAGCACTTTGGTGCAAATCCTGTTGTTTAAATAGATATATTTGTTCTTCACTGTTTGTTTAGGTGCAACCTCCCCCCTTTGGCAAACGGATACGAGAAACATGTTGGCATCAAAACTGACCTTGTGACGGCAAACCCGAGCATCCTCTACGAGAAGTGAGAATGAATCTTTGTCCACCGAAATACATAAACGCCATTCCATTACAAATCTCTAAATGTTCAGAACTGCTCGACCATCTCTGAAATTTGTGTAGAACAAACTATGGCTATTTATAAATATATGTTTTTAAAGTTTAGCTTAATCTATAAAAACTGCCCATTCACCAACTTTTAGTATGTTTCTTGTGCATTGAAATTTTAAAAAGTAAAATAGAAATTCTATATAGTTTGTATCATTTTGAGGTGCAACCACATATGGCTCTCATACATCACTGGTTGACTTCTGCATTATCAGTGTTTTCAATTTGTGTTCCAAACTGGGACTTTTGGTGATGCTTCAACTTTATTTGTTTTTTTCATATTTAAACCCATAATTAGAGATTATTTAATCCAGCTGACCAGTATAGCTGAATCAATGACACTATGAGAAATTACAATAACATGCGGAAAATGGGTCAACAGGCAATTAAAATATATATATCTTGGAAAGTACAGTTGTGAGCAAAAGACTCCATACACTTGTCCACCGTCCAGAGTTTCTTAATGGGTTTAAGTCAGAACCTTGGGGAGACCTTTAACATTTTTGATGCATGTTTGGGGTAACTGTCTTGTTGGAACCCAACTACCTCCAAGACCCAACCTTCTGGCTGATGATTTTAGGTTTTTCTAAAAATGTGGAGGTAATCCTTATTCTTCATTTACTCTGCTTAAAGCACCACTGGCAGCTGAACAGCCCCAGAGCATAATGCTGCCACCACCATGTTTGGTGGTAGGTTTGGTGTTCTTGGTTTTTAAGGCCTCACCTTCTCTGCTCCAAACATATTTGTGATCATTGTGGCCAAAAAGTTCTTTTTTTTTTTCCAAATTGCAGAACTTTTCCTCAGAAGGTCTTTTCTTTGTACATGTGATCAGCAACAAACTTCAGTTGAGCTTTAAGGTGTTGCTTCTACAGGAAGCGCTTCCTTCTTACACAGCAGCCTCTCAGCACACGTTGACGTAAAAGAGGACTGACTGTAGCAGCTTCTTACTCATTGGAAACCTGCTCACTGGTGATTCTTGGTCGACTCTTGACCATCCTGATACATTTTTTATCAGGGTATTTTCTTCCTGATCGTGGCGTTGACACAACTGTACCATGAACTCTATACTACAAACAGTTATTTGCACATATGATTTTAGGATTTGTAGGTGCTTTGGCATGGCTCTAAGTGACTTTCCTGACTTGTTGAAGTCAATGATTTGCTTTTTGAGGTCTAAGTTGAGCTTCACAGACTCTTCCACTTAGTAAGAGCAACATATGAATATTTGCCAACTAAACTGTTGCCAAACAATTTCGTCACCAGCATGTTTGTAGAGATGTGGAACAACATGTTTTAAAATGTTGAAGTTCAACTCCTGTGGGGAACCCTGAAATAACCTGCTCAAGTTAGCGTACCTATAAATGATTGTTGAAAAATCGATTTTTAAAAAGCAAATTCTGAGGGGTCAAATTAGGTTTTTTTTTCATGATTCTGAGTTGATTGTTAGCATTTATATTTCACCACAAACACTCCATTGTTGAAGAGCTCAGAACTGGCTCATACCCATGCACACCTAATGTCCATCCATAGTCACTGGGCTTCAGAGACCTGCTCTGTAGGAGGATCCAGTCCTGGGTCTGCAGGTAGGCACAGAGTGAATGCTGTGCAGCTGCACCCTGTGATAGAGGTAGATCTTCTGGTTTGATCACTCCTGCTGCCGCCTTCCTTGAGAACATGCTGTACCAAATTTGAAACAGAAAAACAATTTTTATTATTATTATTTTAAATACTTTTATAAAGATTCTAATTATGATGATGATGATGATGATGATGATGATGATGATTATTTGTCGAAGTAATGGCAGTGTTATTATTATTACCTGTCAAGCAGAGTTGTTTTCCCATGGCCGGCAATTGCAGAAACTGTGAGAGATTCTTCTTAACCACATCAAACGGCTCTTTCGGAAGGGAAACACATTTATATCTGCCAACTAAATCGTTACCAGACAGTTTCATCACCAATGTGTTTGTAAAGATGTGTAATAACATGCTTTAAAATGTTGAAGTTCAACTCCTGTGGGAAACCCTGAAAAAACCTGCTCAAGTTAGCGTACCGATAAATGATGGTTGAAAAATCAATAAAAAAAAAATCAGCCTTAAGTTACTTATGAGGGGTCAAATCAGTTTTTTTTTTCATGATTCTGAGTTGATAGTTAGCATTTATGTTTCACTATGGACACTTCATTGTTGAAAAAAGCCACAATCACTTTTACATTTACATTCACAGTAGCTTTTATTTCACATATATGAAACTCAGTTATTTCTCATTCACAATGTCAGACGCTTCAAGAGTCATTGTCTATGTCTTCTTCAGACTCAACAACATCATGACTGCAGTTTCTACATGTAATGCTTTTACAGACTCCACAGGTCCAGATGCTCGTGAGCCCATTCTTCTTGCAGCTGCACTGCCGGTTGCTGCAAGAAGAATGACAATTACAGCTCGTCAACTTCAGTAGCTCCTCAGGAGCCATGGGGTCTAGTGTTAGAACTGGCTCATACCCATGCACGCCTAATGTCCATCCATAGTCACTGGGGTTCAGAGACATGCTCTGTAGGAGGATCCAGTCCTCGTCTGCAGGTAGGCACAGAGTGAATGCTGTGCAGCTGCACCCTCTGTTAGAGGTTGAGTCTCTGGTTTGATCACACCCACCACCGCCTTCCTTGAGAACATGTTGTACCAAATTTCACCCAATGTAGTATCTGGTCCATGATAAATGTACTGGAAAATCACAGTACCAGCCAGTATAATGTGAAACATAAATACAATTATTATTATTATTATTATTATTATTATTATCATTATTTTTACTATGATGACAATCATAATGATGATGATGATAATTATTATTATTTGTCAAAGTAATAGCAGTATTATCATGATTACCTGTCAAACAGAGGTGTGTTCCCATGGCCAGCAATCACAGAAACCGTATCACACCCTGTGAAGGCGAAGCTAGCCCTTCTGTCTTTCATAGAGAGATTCTTCTTAACAACATCAAATGGCTCTTATGACGTCCGAAAGATCCAAGAATGCTGGCTCCTTCTACGGAGCATACCTCTGAACCCCAGTGACTATGGATGGACATTAGGTGTGGGTATGGGTATGAGCCAGTTCTAACACTAGACCCTATGGCTCCTGAGGAGCTACTGAAGTTCACGAGCTGTAATTGTCATTCTTCTTGCAGCAACCGGCGGTGCAGCTGCAAGAAGAATGGAGTCACGAGCATCTGGACCTGTGGAATCTGTAAAGGCATTACATGTAGAGACTGCAGTCATGACGTTGTTGAGTCTGAAGAAGACATCATGATTACTCACAAGAACTTAAGAGGCCATGTCACCTAGAAAATTTGATTAGCACAGCTTCCTATATCACCAAAAAGACCTACAATAAATCTATGCAAGACCTCAGATGCATGATTGTTTTCTGTGACAAAGATGCATGTGTTTCAGTGGTTCCATCACAGAAAATTTCAAGTTATAGGTGTCATTGGAAACTCAAGACTACCATGATATACATGGCATTTACAAGTGTATCCACATTTTTGTTCATAACTGTATTTGACATATCAGTGTAAAATTTCACTGATACCATTTTAACTATCCATAGTTTGTGATTTAAAAAAAAAGGTTCAAGCAAATCAAAAGTGGTTGAGCAGAGGGCCTCTGATGATTTGGGATGGAATAACCTGTGAGATTCCTTTAGTTTTGTTTCTTCACATCAGCTCTTTATTTACAGGTACGGGGCTCTGATGGGCCGCCGCCGTCCATTTGTGGAGAGTCTGCACAGCTATGGAAACTCCCTGCTGCTTCTTCCCGCCTTTTCCTTTGGCCACAACACTCCTGTGTCTCTGCGGGCCGTGTACACCATCGAGGATTTTCAGATCCCCACTCGACCCGCCTTCTTCAACCCAGAGTATCTCGAGAGTTTGGCCCTGTTCTGGCGCTCTCAGGGCGTGAGAGCAGTGCGGCTGAGCACTGGCATCATGATGGCCAGCCTGGCGCTGGAGCTCTGCAACAACGTTCATCTGTACGGGTTCTGGCCCTTCAGCACCCACCCGTATGGCCTCCATGCCCTGACCAACCACTACTACGACAACAGACAATCTAAAAGCAAATACCACGCCATGCCAGCTGAATTTGAGCTCCTGCTGCGGCTGCACAGTCAAGGCATTCTTAGGCTTCACCTGGGAGACTGCCAACCAGGTGGAAAGTAGTTCCCAGGAACAAACAACACCACAGCAATAAAGTGCCTTCTTTTTAGCCTCAGGATGAAGCCAGTCACTCAGACGTTTCAAATGAATGAACTCGATTTATTTCAACTGATGGAATGGATCGAGTTTGTTCACCTGGTTACTCATCAGCAGTCAAAACGTTTGCACTGAAACCTAAATGCAACAATTAGAAGACTGTCTGCAGTCTTGCAGTGGATCTACAACTCTATTTATTACCACAAATGTTCCAGCTGGAGTCTGGAGGGAATTATTTAGATTTTACTGGGATGCCTTTGTGAGGCCTTTGTTAGGCTCTACATCGTAGTGCCTTATGTCAACACTTACTAATGATAGCTTTTGGATTAAACTGAATGTATTTTGAAGGAAATCAAATACCTCCTTTCCATGAAGATTGTCTGTCTAACGAAAACACCAGCACAGTGAATGTTAAAACCCATGAAACACATTTAACCACTTTGAGGAAATATTCTGCAGAGGGTAAATGTTTGGTACTCACTTAAATCGCGCCAATGTGCTGGTTGTGGATGCTGATCTCTGTACTGTTGTATTCACTGAGGCTGCTGGCTGTGATGCAGATTTTCGTTAAAGCGTCATGTCCAAGTAGCCTCAAATACAAACCGCCATGGACTGTGGAGCCAAGGATTTAACAGAGACGCCACAGAAAGAAAGTGGAATTAAAAAACAAGTAAAAGCATCCAGGGGGCCTCTGCTCACAAAGGTTGTTATGGTGAGCTTGTGTTACTATGTGCTTCGCCTTGTCGCCACAGTGACCGCACAGGGGAAGGTACTGTACTGCCACAAAGTGGTAAAATACACATGTTGGTACAATGTTAGTCTGGAAACAAGTTCTTGATAAGCTTATGTTACATGAATGCAGATTTAACTGACTCTAATGTAAGGAGATTGTGCACTTTGGGGGAAAATTATAGCGCTTTTTTTTTATTTTACACAAGACCTGGGTGGGTCTTGTGTAAATGGGAGTCATGCTGACAACATTAGAGTCTTAATAGTGAATTTTGTGATGCAGAAATAAATAATGTACAAGCTGTAGATGACCAAACTTGACAACTCTTGGTGAGCCAACTGTAGAATCATGTGAATGTTTGAGATTTTGTTTTGGGGTTTTTCTTTTTGTTTTATTTTCTTGAAAAGCACAAGGTGAGAAGGAAAAATGAAGATACGGTGAATAAATATTTATGTGAAACGGTTATTTGTATCTGTGGCTTCAGTGGAATTCATTTGTCTGACAGGGCAGCAAAAGCTTTTTCCCAGACATCTCAGTTTGCACGATTTATTGTCTTTGAGCCATTAAGTAACCAAAATCTGCCAACGTTTGTCATTAGAATTCAACTTTTTTTTTTTCTTACAAGCAGCACAGTTGGCCAGTTTAAGGCACAGTTTGTGCTCGGTGTTCATTTCCTGACTGGAACACTGTGTGAGCCGATGATTTATTTGCATAGTTTCGTCTTTGTGTATGCATTTTTCTCTTGATTCTCTTCCATATAGCATTTTTTAACCAAATGTAAGCCATATGGCACTGTTTTCAGTGTATGAGTCACAATAATATTTCCGTTCATTATTAGACCTCATCCTTTATCATATTCCATACAGCTTTCATAACAACAGACTTCACAGTACACAACAGCAGTGAGTGCATCTCTGAATGCCAAATGATTAAAAATTGCATCAGATTGCATTACATTTACTATTTTGAAAATTCAGGGCCCACATCAGGAACTCAATGCAACTAAAGTCGGGCAACATACTCATCCAGGTCATTGTTTCCACTATTTTCTTCCACAGAAACTCCTGTGTGATTTTATGCTTCTCATGCTGAAATATTCCTCTTCTGCAGCCTGGGAGTCATCTTGTCAGCCACTGTTTTTGCTATGTCCACAGACATTCATGGTGCATCTATAAATGTCATCTCCCAAGACATTTTTCAATCACTGACTCCCACCTCTGTGCTCCACTGTCAGGACTATGCATCCACTGTGGTAGTCCTGACCATGTTTACACCAAACATGTCAATCTGTGCCAAATATATTTATATTGGTTTCTTCTGACCAAAGAATGTTCATCAGTTTGATCTTGTGGGTTTCTTCAGAACAGCAAGCAAGGCTCAGTTTCTTAGATGTTGTCTATAGAAGAATTTATGCAGTGTTTTTTGCACTGTCTGAGCTGTCACTGACACTCGGATTTCCACTGATAAACCCTTTGCCAAGTCTAAAGCATTTGCTTGCCTTTTCTTCAGAGCTAGATTGTAAAAGTAGTTCAATGTCTGTGGCATCAACTTAGGAGGACGACCACTGCAGCTCTGATTTGTGGTACTTTGGCTCCTTCTGTACCTCCTGATTCAGGCTTTAACTGTGTTTCAGCTGATTTTAGTTGATCTTGCTGTGTACTTTTTCATCTTTGTGAAGAGTCACAATCAGATCAGTTCAGTTTTCGATATGGAGCCACGATGAAAACATGCAGACAGATAGAATCCGTAGGTCAGAAACTGAAAAAGTTCTGTTGTCCACGGGTCATTTTATAACCATGTTGATGTATTAAAAAAAATCACATTTGAAATAGCTGAAGTTTCAGGGATCACAGGTGTATTCATTTTTGTTGCATTGAGTTTCAACTTTGGGGCCTGAATTTTCAATATGCTATTTTGAAAGTATTTGTACTGAATTGTCAATAAAAGGAAATTCTCCACAGTTCCACCTAAAAATAATACCATCATTGAGAGGTGACACAATTTTGAATCACTTGACATTTTAAGCGACATTGTACAGCATGTCCTCGCTTCTGATGTACATTACTGCACTTTCCACTTCACTACTTGTCTCACTGCAGGCCATGTCACAGTTACGATGTGGACCAGATACACAAACATCTGGATGATGCATTCACAGACTCTGTAGAAAAAATAATCAGAAAGTACTAGGGCAGCCTTTTTTCCCCCTGCTCCTCTTCAAGATGTACAGAGATTCCTTTGTTTTGCAGTGACCTGCATGTGCACATTGTCTCTAAAGTGCGGGGTCAATGCATCCGGCCAATTAGGCCATTAATGGGATGAAATGTTTGCTTCTTTTTGAGAAAACAGCCCGCTGCCACAAGTTGCCATCCCAGACATCGCTCCTGGGATTCCAGTCATAGCGGCTTTGACCTCATTGTACATCCAGCTGCAGCACTTCGCCCGTTCCCACTGGCTTGTCTCTCCGGGGAGCGTTTTTTTTATTTCAGACGATTACAAAAACATACTTTCCATTTCCATTTTTGTTGTCTATTCTCCAGGCAGTTTGGCTGTGAACTCGCTGATGAAGATAGACTCAGTGGGAAGAAAAAAAAGAAATTGAGGACACGTGTTTCTTTTATTTCGAATGCTTTCAGAGCTGAAGAGGTGATTGTGTTATCAAGGATGATTCAGGTTTTGAAGTGAGTGGCTATTTGGAGCAAGCATTGACCTCACGCCGCATTAATGTAATCTAAAGCCTCATAGACTCGGATGTTCCCTCTTCACAAGATGTAGTTCAACTGCCAAAGTGACAAACAACATGACACGGCTGACACAAACTGAACTGACATCTCTTCGTCTCCTGTTTGTTCCTGCCAGTGACACAACATCAGCCCGAGCGACTGTAATTCTCCTGATAGGACTGCAGAGACCTCCTGCTCTTCGCTGATCAAAATCAAACACCCATCTCACGCTGACAACAAGAACAGGACAATACTTTGTGTTTCAAAAGGCCTTTTATTTCCTGATGCTTCTTCTCTTTTTTCTTTCTTTTTTTTTTTTCTCCCTCCGCTGCGGACGCAAAAAACAAAAGATGCTGAGACATCTTCATTCAATATGCATTTTTGATTTATTTTTTGTAGGAAAATAGGCCCTTTTTCACATGCAAATGTATTCATCAAAGAATATGAAAAAAATCTTTGCCAGGGGATACCAGAATGGCACTCAAAGAAATGTACATTTTACAAAAAGGCATAGAAAAACACACAAACACACAAATGCATGTATGAATCAGAGTTTGCACTGGTAATACCACTGGTTTTATTGTCACATCCCACACGGGCAACTATAAGAAATATGTAGGGAGAACAACATGGCCTCACTATTCCTTCCTCTAAACGGACAGACAGATGCTGAGGATGGACATTGTGGAATCCCTGATGAATAGACCCACAAAAAAGATTTCATCTGCTACAACCACTTTTAATTCTCCCACTGTGTCAATGTACAGTACAGAGATAAATCACAAAGGAATAATTGTCTTCGTAAGCATCACTCCACCCTTAAGTGCCGATTAACGCTAATCCTGCTGTTGCCTCACACCTAGCTCGTATATCTTTAAGCTGCCGAGTACGAGGGATAATTAAATGGCTTTCAGCTCCTAAGTGTGTCTCCACCCTCGGATGTGCTCGTGTGCATGTTGTCTCCGTCGCGTCTCCAAGTGTGATGCAAAAGTGTCGAAAATTGTTCCAAAAACAAAAAGAGTTGAAGCGCATTTATAGAATTTGCAGCACCTTACACGAACAGTGAAGGTTCATTTTAGAAACCAGCACAGACATGCAGCTCAAACCTGCAGCACCACATCCTTGTTTATTCTTATGCAAATGCAAAACCTCAAAACATGTGCTGACAGACTTGTACGTGACTGCAGGGCACATTGGCTTGACCCATATCGTTTAGGTGTTACTTTAAAAAAGACCTAACTGTTTTTTTGGAGACGTGGTTCTCACAAGACAGCGACAAAACGCACAGGAGCATAATAAAAGTAAAAGCCATTTTCGGAACTGCTTGTTCTCAGTCTTTGTCACTCACTCAATAGAGAACAGAAAAGCAGGGCAAAGACAAACACAAAACTGTGCCATGGGCTAATTCTTCTGACCTGGATAGCTGCCCAAATTCCTAAAACTTTCTACTAAAAACAGCAGTGTAGCTTCGTTTTGAAGATGTAAGGCCAAGCTGCCAGTCATGCAGACAGGAGCAGATGGGGTCTTTCGAGTCCCCTCATGGCAATGACCCCAAAATGCACTTTTCTTCCCTTATTTAGAGAGGAAGTCGCCCTCTTGTGGCCCCAGCTGGAGCACTGTGCATCACCAGCTGCCTGCGATCCACTTATGCTGCGGTTTTACTTGCTTCTTTTCATGTAGTTTAAGTTGCGAAACTTTTCTTACTGGGAAGTATTTAATGAGGGTTGACTGGCAGTGATTGGGAAACTCTCAGTAAATTACCAGCAGCTCACTGGGATAAGAGCTGGTGTAAATCGCTGCTCAGACTGAAACACTTGTGGTGATTTATGTCTGTTTGAATCTGGCCGGGCTCGTTCAGCAGACGTGTGGAGCCCAGTGATGAACAAATCAACCAGAGGGAGTCTTTCTGTTCATGCACATTACATATACACTGAAAAAAGAAGTAAATGTAGACAATTTTTCTGTATTTTTGAAAAACATCAATTCCAAAAGCAGACTGGGAATATTCGTGTTTAAGGCAAAATAGCATTACAAACCTGTCACTGTTCATAATTGTGATTTTATTTTACATAAAGGGATGTTTGAAGAAATAAAAAATAGTATTTTCACAGTGACTTCCTTTTCATTTAATAGACAAAAATAATAAAAATTTCTGTGTTGTTTAATAGATGAAACTGTTAAATCCAAGTTTAATCCTATGAATATATTTCTGAAGTCAAATTCAGTTTGTTTTGTAGCTTAACACAAATTCATTTGCTGACTTATTTAGTTGAGGAGCAAATTAATGTATGTGTATATATATTAGATATCCCTCACACGCAACGTTGCTCAATTAAATTTATTGGCTGCTATTTACCTTAAAAGTTTTTTTTTAATTCTGTTACGTTTGTTTGTGTTCGTATCTATCTATCTATCTATCTATCTATCTATCTATCTATCTATCTATCTATCTATCTATCTATCTATCTATCTATCTATCTATCTAATGTAAATAAAATGTATTAACCGTATACAAATTAAGGCTAGAAAATGTATTTTGGATTTTTAAAAATTACTACACATTGTTTTACTACATTTCTTGACCCCCAGCTGCTAGAATACTATCATACTTTTGACCCTTTTTTTGTTTTTGTTTTTTACAGTGCATATGTAAAGGAATGTAAATGAAGCCATGTCACAACGCACAGCCCCACAAATTCATCAGGGATGATTTGTTCATCTGTTTGCAGAGAGAGACTCGAATCTTTCTGCACAGATTTCTTAAATCAGGAACAGAATGTGGCGGTTTTTGGGGATTTGTTCTGCTTTCCAAATGCCATCGTGAAATGACAAAGCAGTCACAGCTTATTTGGAAGGCTACAGTTCTGCACAGCTTGGAATGGTTTGAACAATTTGGCACTTTACGTCGTCTCGCCAACACTTTCCATCAGCCAGTTCGTCTCCACACGCAGCTGTTCAGCAGATCTCAGCACAATGTCGGAAAAAGAGTAACACTGTTTAGTAAAATACAGCCCAGAGGGTTGCTACATACATACATTAAATACTAACACTGCAACATACAAGGAAAAGACTAACTTTTTTTTTCTTCACGTCATTAAGTCACCGTAGTTGACATATTATAAAAATATACTATGTCATATTTCACATTTTTTACAATTGGAAGGCAATTTAAATCACAATAACCATGAATATTCATACAGCTAATTCTTTTTTTAAAAGATCTTGTTCTATTTTTTTTTACATTTATTTTACAAAAAAAAAAACTTTAAAAACAGAGTGTTTTTCATATATATATTAAAAAAAACACTGGCTCGAACATAAAAATTGACTCCATTTTGGAGATTTTACAAAAAAAGCAATACACACACCGTAATACAAAAAAAACAAACAAATGACTGAAGTGACTTTTACAAAAGGGTTGGTCTCACGTAGGCATATTTGCACAATTGGAGTAGCATGGCCACAGTATTCCAAAGCTACAAACAACCAGGCTTCATAGCAGCCCAGCAGAAAATCTTGGCACTGACACTTGCATCACACAAACAGTGTTTGGTCTCACTATATTAGAGTAATGGCTTTGAACCTTTTCCCATTACGACGTGGTGATATTGCAGCCTTGTGCATCTAAACACTGAACTGGGAAGACGTATGTGACACACTACAGCTGGTTAAGGTGTTGCTGGATGCAGGTAGCATTTGGCAACTGGAATCTACTCCTCCCGCCCTCTGTAAGTGAAGCCCCTGCAGAAGATACCACCAGGGGGCAGTCTACTACAAGGCAGACGGTGAAGTCGCCTTGTTCAAAGCCACAGAGAGAAACTGAGAAGTTGAGGAACAAGGTATAAAAACTGGGTGCACCTTTTTTTCTCTTTTGTTTTTGATAAACACGCCACCTGCTGTACTCATCAGTTCCTGAGCAGCAGCTGGTGTAAAAAAAAAAGAAAAAGAAAACACAGGAAACACGTACAAACACAAAGTCACAGCAAATAACACTGTGAACGACGCCGAAGAGGACGCAGACCATCATGAGTGACAAGACGCAGCCTTCAGGAAGGTGATGCTCTTTGCTGCGTTTGTGATTCATTTTTTTTATTGCGTTTATTGATGTTCCTTTATTGTGTCGTAACAGTGTGAAGTTGTCGCTTTAGCTTTTCTGGAACACGGGGACGACATGGCACCCGGTGTTGTGATGACTTCGAAAAGCCTGCTAAGCCATATCTGGGATCTGTCTAATTTGCGAGAGAACTCATTATGATTTTCCGAAGCTGAAATCCCCCTAAGACAGGACGAACAGGAAGACGACGGAGGTCAATAATCTGACTCGAGGAGACATGTAAACGACAGATGCAGTTTGTGTTGGTGTAATGGTTCAAGTTACACGGTGATAGCCCAGACAAACTAATTGTCAGCTGCAATATCACAATTTCATGTTTTGTTTTTTTTTCTACACAAACACACATCTTTCTCCAGCTTGCAGGATTCTTAAAGGCACAGAGGTGTTTAAATATCCAAGAAAAGATTGCAACAGCTCATCATCCAGTCTGATATATATATACATGGGTTCATTACACTGTTTCTGGGATTAAATCCATACAGAGGGCTTCCCCTCTCCTGATTTGCTGCTGCTGCTGTTGCTGCTGCTGCCTCCTCCGCTGCTGCCTCCTTTGCCATGCTTGAATCTATGCTTGCGCTCCTTCTGAGGCTGCGGCTGAGGCTGCGGTTGGGCCTGGATAATGTTACTTTGGGGCTTGTCGTCCTGGTTGTCCCCGAGCTGCTCCTCGGCCCGGTGCTGCTGACTGTAGGCCTGGATGGCCGCCTCCAGCTGTTCGTGAGCCTGCTGGATCATGTCTTTGTTCAGAGCCACTCGGGCCTCCCCTCCGGTGGGGAAATTGTCCTCGTTGCTGCCAAACTGCTGCTGCTCCTCCTGGGCGATGTTCGCCCGGTTCTGCTTGCATGCCATCTTGGCATTGCTGAGGTCGGTGTAGGGCATCTGCTCCGGTTTCACCACGATGTTGTAGCCGGGCGGAGCTGACGGAGTGTTCCACGAGAAGGGATAGCCGACATAATCGGCGGCGCCATCTCCACCAACTCCTCCCTCAGAGCCGGCCTCCGGCCCTGTACCCCCTACGGAGCCCTCCACACCCCCATTGTTGCCCAGCAAGCCCAACTGGTACTCGTCCTCCTGAGGTGGGCAGCGGCGGCGCCGAAGAATGTCACAGATGGAGCCGATGCCCAAATGGAGCATCTCCCAAATGTTTAGCGTGAGGCAAAGGACGGTGACACCGTACATGATGCGCAGGAAGATGGTTTTCTCAGTTGGCCGAGACACAAAGCAGTCAACGCTGTGGGGACAAGGTTTCCCCGAGCACACAAACACCGGTGTCACACGGAAACCGTACAGCAAATACTGGCCGGCAAGAAATCCTGCTTCTAATATAGTACGGGTCACCAGCTGTAGAACATAAACCCGCATCAGCCCTTCATCCTGGATACGCTTACGTCCATCGTGGCGGATTTTGGGTCTGGGTGTCGGCTGCAGAGGATCCCTTGGCCTTTTAGGAGGCTCGATCTCTGGCACCTCGTAGATCATCGGATCATCCTCCTGGTCCTCCTCAGTCTCCTCAATGCCTCGATGCTGTCTTGCTCCGAAGCAGATTTTCCTGGGTTTTCTATGCGTGTAGCCTCCTCCTCCTCCTGTTCTAACCGCGGCAGCTCCACTTCCTCCTTTGGATTCATCTAATCGTGCAATCTTGTTGACGGCGTAGCCCATATACATGAGAGAAGGCATTGCCACTAGAATGATCTGGAAGACCCAGAAGCGGACATGGGACAGAGGGGCAAAGGCGTCGTAGCAGACATTCTCGCAGCCCGGCTGGCCCGAGTTGCAGACAAACTTGCTCTGTTCGTCGTAGTAGATGGACTCTCCCCCGACGGCGGTGAGAACGATGCGGAAGACGATGAGCACGGTGAGCCACAGCTTCCCCACGAAGGTGGAGTGGTTGTGGATCTCCTCCAGCAGCCGCGTGAGGAAGCTCCAGCTCATGGTGTCGCTGGACAGTGGGGCAGACAGTGTCCCTCTCTCACCTGCTCACAGACTCTGCAGAAAGAAAAGGACACAACAGAAAACAGAGTCAGTTCACATTACAGGCCTCTACTGGAATATCTGAAGGGTCGATCCATATAAAAGCAACCCAATCTGAAAAAGTTCCAACCTGACCCCCTCGGCATGTGTTGAAACTGTACAGGAAAAATCTGTAATATAACAGAAATGTGTTTTTTGTTTGTTTGTTTGTTTGTTTTTCACCATTTCTTAGTCTTTAATATACAGAATAGAATATTTGTAACATTTTTTAAAAATAGTTTAAATAAGTAGTTAGCGGTATAATTTTATGGTCAAACACGGTAAAAGAACTTAAATTACCATTTATAAAAATACAGAATTTTGATATAGACAAACATTATGGGATATGTCATAGTTTGATCAGCAAAACTGCAGCAGTTTAACGTCTATAACAAAGAGTCATAGAAACAAGCATTGGTTCCCTGGATGTGTTTTCCGTTTTCTGATAATTCACCAGAGAAAACTTGAGTGCATTTTGGGTAAACTTTCAAGGCTCATATCAACATGTGTGGTACTCTTTTGGTCAAAGCAAGCTATTGCAAATGGAAGGTTTCATTTTTATCCATATCTGATACCAGGATCATCTTCTAGACACAATTCAGTCTGTTGCAAAATACATTTCTGATATTGTCGTAGCTTAACACTTGCAAAATGTGACTCAAGAAATCAAAATCATGATAACCCCTGCACGATCATCACATGATACCGAGATTAGACAGCATCGCTGTTGTTCAGACTCACAAAGTGACAGAACAAGAAGAACTGAATGCTAAAAACTTGTTTGATCGATGTAATTCGTCCACACTATTATATGAAACACCAATGTTGTTTCTCCATTCCACAGCCAGAAGCTACATCCACGAGCTCTGATTGAGTTTTCACGGCGTGACCCTCAAACATTTTAAAAAACGATCTGGCAAGATTTGTCCAGTTTTGTTCCCCCAGTAAAATCCTCGAGAAAATTGTATTCATCCTGCAAGTTCAGCAGCAAGATGTGAAAGGGGGTGACACAATAAATGCCTTAATTAAAATGAATGCTCCTCTTTAAGCTCTGGCAATCAATACACCCTTAATTTGATCTGTTGCTCCTCGCGGCTCCAGTGCACACACAAATTCAGCCCGGCGAGGTTTTGCTGTCAAGTTCGGGGCTTTTTAGGGAATTAGACGACCAAACAGGGTGGAAAGAGGATATCGGTATTAAAAAATACCATCAAACAGCGCTGAGAAGGAGGCGAAATAATCCAAATAGGGAATTTCGCTATCGCCAAACACACACACACTTTATTTAACAGCCTATCTCTTTTAGGGGGAAATAAATCCTCTTAGTGAGCCTTCTTCTGTGTGAGGTGCAGTTTTCAGGATTGTATTAACTTCACTGGTTTGTTCTGGTTGGGAGGTATTGTGCTGGGTATTGCTATATGTGTGGGGGAATTGAGGGACATGTTGCCTTATGTAGGTTAGGTCTGGGCTGCAGGCAGTCCATCCAAACCAGCAGAATCAGCAGGTGGCCGGGCACAAACCGTTGGAGCGGGATTTCAGACAGCAGAGCCACATTAGCTCAGGCAGTGGAGCTGAACCCAAACACTGGCGTCCCTCAGGGCGGCTTTGGGGGATGAGTGTGACACCTCCACACAACTTTCCCCCTCATGAAGCCGCAACAGCGCGTGGCTTATTGTCAGCTTGACTGAGAGGAAAATCCAGCCATGAATACGAGCTCAGATTGGGGTTTAAAGGGCTTGCAGGGACGATATCCTTACCAAGCAGGTTGGGAGCTTAGAGTCGGAGGGAAATTCAGCCTCCCAGCGTCTCTCTCTCTCTCTCTCTCTCTCTGCTTTGTGTCTGCAGGAGTGTTTTGGAGAAAGGCCCCTGCGATAAAACATGTGTCCACTATTGATCAGTGTGACCATATAAGGACACGGCTGGGACGCGGGAGGAAGACGTCAGGAATGCTTCACGTGCACGCTCGCGAGCGCACGGCGGCCTCGAAACTGATTCCTGCAAACAGGCCCGAGTCTTCCGAGCGTCTGTGACCGACATGTATGAGTAAGCAGCAGCAGCAGCAGCAGCAGCAGCAGCAGCAGCAGCAGCGCATGGCCTGAGCCGAGCAGCGTCCTTCCCTGGCCGAGCTCCGTCTGACTTTTCTCTGCATTACATCACTGTGTTTCTTTACATAACTCACACTGGGCTGCACAGTTGTCCTTTAGCTAATAATACCCAGATTCACAGACAAACAGGCGGCTGCAAAGGTTAAACTGCTCCATTTAATACAGTGATGAGGTTAGTTCGATGTTCCGGAGCAACAAATGTAATAATTTGTGTTTCTTGCATTTTTCATTTGTCTGCTATATTTGCAGCATCTTCTATATACTTTACTCAATATTTATATTGTTGTGGATTCAGTGTTATTGTCAAGGACCACTGAGATTTGTTTACTTGAGGAGCAAACTCATTTACAAGTATGTTTGCATATGAAATAAGTTCCCCTCACATGAAACGGCGCTCTGTTAAATGTGCTGACTGCAGTTTGACTGATAACTTTAAACTTTTTATTCAGCACCTGTCAAAGTGTATGTACAAATCAGTCATTTTATTGAGTTTTTCCTTTTTATTTTAGTATTACTATTTTAGTGGGGGGGTTTGTTTTGTTTTGGGGTTTTTTTTTAATTGTTGAAAACCACAAAATGTCAATAAAATGCCAAAAGCATACCATAAATTTCCATGTTTCAGTAAAATTTGTAACCGTGACAAAACATAAAATTTCCATTTTTAAGAAAACACATTATCTTTGACATAAAAACAACAATTTATAAAGAATTCAGGAATATGTATTGATATTTATTTATTGATAAAACTCAAATTAGACTTGGCATGATGTAAATAATAATAACAACAATAACAACAATAATATACAAAATTATATATTTACAGATTTTTTTGTATTTCTTAAATACACAAATATATTAATAAAATTCCAAAATAGATTGTGAATTTAAACTATAAAACAATGTAAAATTACATTTTTTAAAAATTAAGGTAGATTTTTAAAACAAAAAATTCGAAGGTAAACCAATACATTTCACACGTGGATTTAAATTCAGTTTAGTTAACTTGCTTGTAGAAACCCATTAAATACATGATATGACCTAAATTTAACTGCATACTGTTGTAATTACAGTCAGAACTATTAGTATATCTTAGTATGGCTTTGCAAATGTTTTATGTAAAGTGATATGAAGAGCTCACATTATACTTGATATGATTATTGCAATTTGAAGCTGAATTCTTAGTTTCACAAAGGCATTTTGATTAATTTTTTTTTTACACATAAAATTCTATTTTAAAAAATAACCTTTACTGCAAAACAACATTATTTGACCATATTTGTGGGTAATTTCATTGTTTTGTATTATTGTTCTTCCATTGTTTTTTTGTCTTATGTCAGACATTATGTTTTTTCTGTCATATAGTATTTATTTTACATTATTTTTATTTACAACATGTGACATATTCAAACACAGTTTTTATGCTTTTATGGCTGCACCATTCCCATGTGTTTGGTACTTTGGGGAATTAATGTTCTGTGTGTTTGTGCAACGTGCATGTTGTGTAGTTTGTAAAAACAGCCTTTGTGAATTCGACAGTCATAGAGGAACCTGGCCCTTTGATGAATCTTTGTCCCCCTCTGTTAGGTTCTCCGGTGCGCCAGAATAAGTCCGACTCCCCCCTTGACCAGGAGAGACGCTCCAGCTTCAGCCACGCATCTGCTTGGGTTTAATACTGCTGCTATCTCAGCCACATATAACCTGGCATTTTGCCTTCTCATCCAATTTATGTCTGCAGGAGCTAGTGGGGCAGTTAGGGGTAAGAAGCTGACTCTGTGCATTAAGCTACCGCGGTGAGTCAGCCTCCCGAATAGCTCGGCACAGACGCAGCAGGCAGGCGTTCTGTCTGTTACTTTGATATAAAGAATGAACAGCAAATTGGTGGAAATCATGTCACACAGGAAAACATCAAACAGCTAGGCCAGACTTTAGGTTCAAAAGTTGGAGGGAAAAGCCCCTGAGGTGTAAACTCATATAGCAGGAGACGACTAATGAGCTTTGAGAGGGAATCACATCCAGGATAAATGGCTCCATTAGCAGAAAAGGTCACGACTGAGTAATCACAGGTCAACAAACTCCCAAGTATCCGCCTCTCTGAGCTCTCACAGCCCCAACAGAGCAGGTTAAAGTCCAACAAGAGAGATGAACTCTCCACATCACATGTCACGCTCTGACTCAAGCCGACACTTGTGATTACAGTTATCGTCACTGCCGGGTTCCCCTCAGGATGCACAGGGACTCACATCCAGACGTACAGTTTACATACGCTCGCACGTGCCTCCAAAAGCTACCACAGCGTCCCGGCTCTGCTGCAGCGGGGTTAGCCGAGGCTCCTTATTCACCGCCGTGACTCACCGTGTGGCTCCAGCTGGCGGGCCCCGAGCTGGGGAGGGGACACCAGGGGAATGAGCCCATCGTGGGACAAACCCCGACCGACCGGAGCACGGGGGGGGATGACTGCAGGTGGGTGAGCGTTGATTTGCACAACTGGGACATGTGTTGTAACCAGCATGCATCATCCAGGGGACTTCTACGCTGCAACAGGTAAAGTTTGCAAAACAGATGTGCAGGGTCACAGTTTGTGCATGTTGAAGCTCAGTGTTTTCCTTCACAAACACAAACTTGGGTTCTTTTCAGGACAAGTGATCCATTTAACGCACTAATTACTTGGAGATGCAAGCTTGTAGCGTTACAGTTCTTTCTTATGCTATATGCACGACACAATTTAAGTGAATTGCATATGCAGATGCATGTGTAAGGTTGTGTTTTTGTTTCGTTTTTTTATATGTGCAAGCGCAAAATGTCATGCTTTAATCTCAT